GGTTCGAGAAGAAGAGTGTGGTGTGTATGTAGCGGTCGGAATGTGTGTATGAGGCAGTGGATGTTCTTGGGCCAAATGTGCCCCGAACATGCTGATCTGCACACAGATTTGCCCCTGGTCAGCGACTTTATCACATATATACCTCCCTTCACCTTATGGTGAGTCTTATATCCCCAACCAAACTGTGAGTTTCTTAAAGACCAGACAGCATCTCAGACTTAACATTCTCTAGTACCTAGCTCAGTGCCAGGCTCGATAAATGCTGCATAACCTCGAAAGGTCCCGAGAATTACATGTAATATGGATGAGTCAGCTCCGGCTAGTATAACAAAATACCAAACCCTCTCTTCCTCTTCTTCTAAAGCCACCAGTCCCATCATGAGGACCCCACCCTCATGACTTCATCTACTCTTAATTATCTCCCAAAGGCCCCATCACCAAATGACCTCACATTAGGAGTTAGGACTTCAGTGTGGAATTTGGGGGGATGCGATGCAGTCCAGAGCACTGTATTGATTCCTATGGTCAGCTTCAGACCAGGCAGGCTGCTGGGGGTAGGAGGGTCCTGAGGGAAAGGGACCACGGAGGTCTAACTGAGATGCTTCAGCGGAGAAGGCGACTTTGAAGGAGGTGGGAATCTAAGAAACAGCGCCACAGATTAGAGCTGGCGAAGGAAATGCTCCACCTCGGGAGGGTGCCCGTCCCCCAAATAGAATGACTGCCAGGAGTCATCCCCCTGCCTCAGGGACACAGCTGTGAGAGGGCAGATTTGCAGTGCACCTTGACTTTCTGAGGCAGGCCAGTGAGCGGTGGCTGGGCTCCTGGGAGGGGGCCGTCCCTCCTCCCAGAAGATGTGGCTTAGTCATTTCTGGTGCCCCTTCCTTGGGACCAGGATGACTAATCATCCTTCCACTCCTGGCCAGGGAGGTGTAGGGTGTTAAGGCAGTTTATAGTACCAGGATGAAGATGGAGATGGCGGTAGACTGGGGGGCCTACAAGCCTCTATGCAATTTGAATTTTTTCAAATTGAAAAAATTCAATTTGATTAGGTTTTAAAAAAGGAGGAACGGCTGAAATACAAATGGATTTCATGGGGTTCTCTCTCTCTCTGTCACACACACACACACACACACACAGCCCAGGGCTTCCCCACTCCTCCCTGGGGCCACCTGTTTACCTGTATTATCGTCAACCTGCCTCTCCACTTCATCGCCCTCCTGCACCCTCTCTCCTCGCTGGCTTTAGCTTCTCCCAGGCCCTGCCCGCTATTCATCTAATTTCACAGCTTGTCACGAGTCCTCTCTCTCTCTGTCTCTCACACACACACACGCACACAGCCCAGGGCTTCCCCACTCCTCCCTGGGGCCACCTGTTTACCTGTATTATCGTCAACCTGCCTCTCCACTTCATCGCCCTCCTGCACCCTCTCTCCTCGCTGGCTTTAGCTTCTCCCAGGCCCTGCCCGCTATTCATCTAATTTCACAGCTTGTCACGCTGCTGTGATTTCAAGGCAGAGGGAGAGTTATTAAGAAAGCCCCTCCCTTCTCCCCAGCTGCACACCCTCATCTCCAGTCTCCTTTCTCGGAATACAGGTGCTCAGTGACCCTGCCATGCACACGAAAGGTGGATGGAGTTTCTTTCCTGGTCCGCCGAGCTGTCAGAGTCCCCAAGACTGTAATTGTACACACTTCTCTAGATTAAAAACAAAGTCTTTATAAAAAATCCCCTTGCCTGAGAGCCCACAGCCAAGGCCGGTTCTCGTGGTCTCGCTGGGCTAGGGCTCTGAGGAGCAGCCACGGCTGGCCGTTCCGCCTTCTTGTTTGTAGGAGCCATTTTTCCACGTGGCCATTTTGAAAACAGTAACACACTTTCTTTGAGAACCGAGCCCTTGGTCGTGTCGCACACTCTGGCTTGGCCAGTGCCCACTCTACTTGTCTGTGTTTCTCTTATTCCTGGGCTCCCTTGAGAGCATTCAGGATGTCCTGGACTTGACCATCGGTCCTCTCTCTTCGGCTTTTCGATTTCTCGTTTCTGCAATCCTCAAACTACAGTGGTTGACGGGATCGGAGGTTTTAGAGTCAAGCTGAGTTCCAGTCCCAGCTCTGCTGCTTGCTAGCGAGTTACTTCACCCCTCCTGCTCATTCGTAAAGCAGGTGTAAGGACGGCACCTGCCAAAAGACGTGGAGGCAGTGAATGTATGAAGCTTGGTTGGGCGCCCGAATGCAAGAGGCATTAATGTAATTTATGGCAGAGCAAGACCTCTAGAGTATTATGGGATGCCTAAGACCCAGAATGTGCACCACAGGGACATCTGGGGCCAAAACTAACCCTTGAATGGCCTGGGCCTGGCCTTTATTACCTGAGGGTTGCATGGTGGGGGCAGAGAGGGCAGGAGGTGTTAGGCCAGGGGATACATCTACTGCTTAATGACCAACGTTTTTATTTTAAATTACAGAATAAAATAGAAAATAGAACAGAACAGAATAGAATGTCATTCCACTGCATAGCACCACCCAGTGGATCCTCAGCCCCACAGGCAGCCAGAGCGAAATCCCAAGTCCTCAGCAGAGCATACCTGCGTGTCCCCTGTGATCCTGCCTCTATCTCCCACACACCTGCTCTCCATTTACACCAAACCAGTGGCGGTTCCCCACGGGAGCCACCCTCGCTCTCCCCTCCGTTCCTCTGCAGGCCACTGCCTCTGCCTGGAATGTTCTTCCTCCGCCCAGTCTGGCTGACAAAATGATCGCCTTTTCACTTGGAGCAGGAACATCGAGTCTCGGATGCGGGGCTTCCGGGCACAGTGAGGTACATATGTTATTGTAGCACTTGTCAAACTGTATTATAATCCTTTGTTTACATGTCCATCTTCCCCACTGGGCTGCAAGCTCCTTGATCTTGAAAGCCAGATTTTACCCAGATTTGTATTCCTGGCAAGAAGCACAGAGTCGATAGTGAAGCTTAATATGTGGTCGAATGCATGGCTCTAAGAAATACATAACAAACCTTGGTATCTGTACTTTCCTGAATCTTGTTTTGGTTGTTATTTATTATTATTATTATTATTATTGCAAATAGTCACTAATGCTTATGTTACAAGGTTATTGTGTTCTAATTTTTTCCTTTAAAATGAAGATCACTAATATCATTCATTCATTCATTCATTCATTTGCCAACGAATATTTATGGGGAGACACTCGTCAGAAACTGGATTTGAAGTGGTGCCAGATTTTAACAGACAAAAAGCCCACGACAGCCCCTCAGCCCTGCACTGCAAAGACAGCCCCTTCCGGATACATCGGGGAGAGAGAAGGGAAGCTCGTTTCGAGGGCCACAGGTCGAGAAGACCCTAAGATGTCCCCGCCATTCAGGTGGAAGTTGCCACCTCCCCAGTGACCTCATCTGTCCAAAGACAGGGCCAGGTAGGCAGTTCCTGAGGATCCTTCCGCGTCTGACACGAGTCCCTGGAGCCAAGTGACTGGAATTGATATCCAAAGCGAGGCGCCACCCCGGGGAGAGGGCTGTGGGAGGCCAGGCCACCGTTCCTCCCTCCCCCCAGCGCTCCTGCTCCTGGCAGGCCAGGCCCCCTGTGAAGCAGGATCAGGCAGGGTAAAAGGGAGCCATGTGTCGAGGTCTCCCCACTTGCTCTTGGTTCCACTGAGGAAGAGACTCCTGGGCCTGCCCCAGGCAGGTCGTTTAGGGTCAGGTTCCGGCCATGGTAGCTCCCAGGTTTCAGCACTCCCTGGGTGCCGTACAGACCCGCCCCCACTCCACCCTGCGCCGCTCAGAGTGTGAGCACCCCTCCTTCTCCACAGCCCCCTCAATGGGCTTGGTGTTGAGAGAGGAGGTGGTTTTCTCTCTTTGCATGCAGTCCTTGGAGACCTACTTGAGGCAATTTGTCACTCACACTTCAAGCTGCCGGCCAAGGAAGAAAGCCGAAAAGACTCTAGAATGAGATCCTTGTGCTGTAATTAAGTGCCAGGCTTTGTTTTACCCGTATCTTTCCCACCTTGCCCGATCGGCTGCTCCGCGGTTACCGCCGGGACACCGGGAGCCGCGTTCGCGGGGTTGGGGCTCGGCCCCCCTCATGGTCCAGCCCCTGGCTCTCCTCGCCCCCAGTCTTACTCCAGACGGCGCCAGATTCGTCTTTGGACCGGGTTTTGCCCCGGGTTTTGTTCCTCCACTGTCCGTCTTCTCTCTTTAACCCTTTGCTTCCTAAGGCCTCTGGGGAGCCGGCCTCTTTCCTTTGACTCGTCCCTTTTCCTGCAGACCCAGCGGCGGACGGAGGCGGCGGGAACGAGGAAAGAAGGCGGGGCAGATTCAGGCCGCGCTCACAGGGCAGATGGGCCTGTCTTCTCTTGGGTTCTCCAGCCAAACTCGGGGCTTCTTCCTTACACTGAGGTGTGGTGCAGTTGAAGGAGCCTCGCACGGGGCCTGGGGTCCGGTTCCTCTTTTGCCAGCGGCTGGCCGTGCCTCCGGACAACGAGTCCAGGTCCTCGGGCCAGCTTCCCCTCTGTCCGATGAGACAGGAAGGGCTTGGCGAGCTCCACAGATACTTGGGGAGCTTATCTATGGATACTTGGGGAGCTCCATAGATAAGCTGGCCTGGCGAGCTCCACGGATACTTGGGGAACTCCATAGATAAGCTGGCCTGGCGAGCTCCACCGATACTTGGGGATCCCACAGAGGCTGCAGCTCCGCACCGCTCTCCCCGTCCCTTCCCCTCGGATCCAGGGTTTCCCGTGCACCCAGCGCCCCGCGTCCCAGCTTCCCTCCCCCCGACCCCAGGGACCCCTATATTCTTCCGCGGCCCAGCCGCAGGGTTGAAACCGGAGGTCGCCGCATTGGCCCGAGCGCGC